TTGGCCATGCGCCGGGTGGCTGGATTCTGTTGGCTTTTGTCCGTGCAGGTTGCTCAGTCCTGGGAGTCTGTCTTGGTTACGACAACCTTGCGGCCCACTGAGATGAAGGGGGGGCCCTCATGCGCCCCACTCACTCGCCTAGGCTGCCCCTCGCTGCACTTTGCCCTCCTGCCTTCCACGAGGAGACATTTTGTTTCCTGTTGGCCATGCGCCGGGTGGCTGGATTCTGTTGGCTTTTGTCCGTGCAGGTTGCTCAGTCCTGGGAGTCTGTCTTGGTTACGACAACCTTGCGGCCCACTGAGATGAAGGGGGGGCCCTCATGCGCCCCACTCACTCGCCTAGGCTGCCCCTCGCTGCACTTTGCCCTCCTGCCTTCCACGAGGGGCACACCCCACAGAAAGTGACTAATCCTGAGCACCAGCCACTGACGGACTTGGACGGGAGTCGTGGACTCAGCACGGTGTGAGCTCGTGACACGCACTCATACCCCCCCCCCTGCCCGACGGACCTTTCCAGTTACTCCCCTCCACTAGGCTTCTGTGTCACAATTTAACCAATGCCCTCACCCCCCCGGGCCTGCCTGGCCATCTACATACCCCGTTCTGTTTATACAGGGCCAGGGGAAAGAAAACAACACTCCTGAGTCGTGATGTCGGCTCTGAGGGGAAGTCCGGGTCAGAGCAAGGACAAGTTCACTTTGATTAAAGCGCTCGCCACCCGGCAGCAGCCCACAAGTGCTGAGTAGAACAAACCGCCGGCGTCACGGCCAACTGACTTCTCCGGCACAGCAGCCACACCCGGCACAGGCTTGGCAGAAGCGCGACGAGAGAGCCCGACAGCCCAGAGAAGGAGGCAAGTTTTAATTTACGCCGTCAGTCGCCACGGGCGCAGAAAAACCGCCCCGCAAGCTACTCCCTCCCGCTCCAACCTGCTGTTCCTTTCCACCGCCTGTCAATTCCTCCGTTTGCTCTCTCTCGGCCCTGCAGTGCCTTGAGCCTATGGAGGGACAGCGCCACTGGGCTCTCGGACACGCTCATGCCGGCCAAGGCCAGGGCAGCCGGCTGTGTGAGCGCCAGCGTGAGGCACTCCTGCCAAATGCTCTCCCCAGGGTAGTTTGATCTCTCTATCCACCTGCCCCCAGAGGCTTTTGGGGCACATCGGTAAGGGAAAGCCGCCCAGCTGCTCTGCGTGGATGGGTTTTTTAAAAAGAAACCCGGCCGCTTTCAATGGGATTTGTTTTGCATTTTATTCATCCCGTCATCTCTAGCGCCTTCCTCCAAAGCAAGCCGCAGCCCCAGGCAACGGCAAATGCAGCCCCGGGCAGAGGCCAAGTTGCAGCACATGGGCAGCAGAGGGTAGGCTTGTGTTCGAAGCAGGACATCCCTCTGATGATTAAGATTATTTGCCGATTTCTGCCGTTTGCAGCTTTCAGCCCCAGCTGGCTTTCAGGTTGGTTTCTAGGTGCACAAGCACAAGCAACATTTGCTCCTTGTAACAACTACTCAAGCAGATTAGGCGGACAACTCGGCCCTGGGCCAAGAAAGCGCTTGGCAGCATCCCCTGCTCTTCTGAGGGATTTCCTCTTCCAAAAGCCTCTTCCCTGTTTCTGCTCGGTCAGGCCCAGGCAGGCAGAGCGTTTATCAAGCCTCCCAGACTCTGGGTGCAAAGGGGCCTGAGAACGGGGACCGTCGCCACAAGGATTCTGGGGAGCCACTGAGCTGCACAGGTGCAAGCCGGGACGCAGCTGAAAACAAATCAACAGCCCCTCTAGGAGAGGGCAGAGCAGACCGAGAGGCTGGAGAGAAGCAGTCCGGCTAGCCTAGGGCTACTCTGCCAAATCCAGCCAGTGGGGACGTTGTTTCATTGCTAACCCTCCCTCCCGGCCCCCAGCCACGTACTCGGCTGTAGGCAGACATAGACAAGACAGCCAACAGCAGGGCAGAGCCATGGGCCCACACTATAAATACCCTGGCAATCAGGGCAGAGAAGAGATTTCGGGAAGCGCCTCGCTGGAGGAGACTACCTCTAAAACACAAGCTGGATAAGAATCGTGGCAAACCACAGACATCAGAGAAGGACTCAGTGGGTTCTCCCTCCTTTGAGGATTGGCTTCCTCGTTGGAAAACATCTCATCAGACAAGCCTACGGCCAGTAGCCTCGTTAGCTGGCATCAAGCTTCCTTCCTTCCTTGGACCTCTGCATATGTACCTGCAACATGAAAAGGGCATCAGGACTGACGCAGACCTGCTGGCTAGTGGACCGGGGAGACCCCTCCACTCCGTTTTCCAGTCTGCTAAGTTAGTGCAGTGGGTGAGAAGTAGGTGAGCCACGGTCCTTACAAGATGACAGCAGTTTGTCACCGGCTAAGTTTCCCCCTCTCCTCTCCAGCTCAACTGGACGGCCTTCCCCTCCCTCCTGACTCCAAAAGATCTCCCCACCTTTTTACAGATGCTAAGTGCCACACCCCTTCTTCAGAGTTTCAGTGCTGCTTGGATCTACAGCTCTACGTTGCTCCGAGACCCTGGTGTGCAGGGAAACCAGACACGGAGGTCCTTGGAGCAGGTGACTGCACAGCGCATCTATTGACCTTTTCTACATAATCCCTTTTGGTGGTCTCTACGTGGAAGAAGAGACAGACTAGAATGAACCAGAATCATCCCATTTTGGACACTACATTGCAACGCGTGATGCTCATGCAAGAGAACTTGGTCCCAACCTGCCCGGATCAGTTGAGGAGTCTCACAGATACTAGGGGTAGACAGAACTTCACAGCGGGTTTGTTGAGTAGCTAATCCTCCAGTGGGAACAACACACCACACTGAGGCTACGCCTAGACTGCACCCTTCTGTCGACAGAGGGATGCAAATCAAGCACATCGAAATTGCTAATGAAGCCGGGATTTAAATATCTCGCGCTTCATTAGCATAAACATGGCCACTGTTTTTTTTCTAAACGGAGTTTTAAAAAAAAAAGGAAAAAAAGGCAGTCTAGATGCAGATCTGTCGAAAATAAACCCTTTTTCAACAGACCCTGTATTCCTCCAAAAATGAGGTTTACAGAATCTGTTGAAAAAGGCTTTAGTTTCGACAGATCCGTGTCTAGACTGTCGGGTTTTTTCCCAAAAAACTCCGTTTAGAAAAAAAACAGTGGCCATGTTTATGCTAATGAAGCACAAAATATTAAAATCCCGGCTTCATTGGTAATTTCGACGTGCCTAATCTACATCTCTTTGTCGATAGAGAGGTGTAGTCTAGACACACCCAGAGACTGTCACTCGCCCATCCCAGCATGGCAGAAATGTAGAGATTCCCTATTTATGGTGTCAGTCTTTGGAAAGGGGGCAATTTTCATCCCAGAGAGCCATATCTGTACGCTGAGGCCTCACATACTAGAGCCAATGTGGCAGTTAACCCCAGATAAACAGGAAGGGATCTGATTCAATTCCATTATTGTAGAACAACTAAAATTAAGATCCCTACTTTGCACCAAGCAGGGGTGCTCTAGTTTTAGAGGTATCAAGTGGCCAAGTTTTCCAAATTATTAGGGAAGCAGCATCCAGGCAATAATTTCAGGTGATGGGGGAGTTGTAATGTGGGCGGGAAGATGGGACTTTTGATAAAGTCAGACTCTTCTTGAGAGCTCCATGTGGTTTAGTGACTATGGACACCGTGACGTGAGAGCTGGGATCTGGGGCCAAGGGCTCTCCTGCAAGCTGTCTGCTGATACGAGAACTCAATCTATTAGGGAAGCAGCATCCAGGCAATAATTTCAGGTGATGGGGGAGTTGTAATGTGGGCGGGAAGATGGGACTTTTGATAAAGTCAGACTCTTCTTGAGAGCTCCATGTGGTTTAGTGACTATGGACACCGTGACGTGAGAGCTGGGATCTGGGGCCAAGGGCTCTCCTGCAAGCTGTCTGCTGATACGAGAACTCAATCTGGACC